TCTGGTTTTTTTTTTTTTTTTTTTTTTTTTCTGGTGGGGGCAGGGAGTGGTGCCTGGCCAGGACTATAGCTGTCACCCACAACCTCCTTCCCTGGATCCCTGGGATAGCCAGCCCCTATGGGACAGCTTGCTAGAAGCAGACTTTGACTGTACTGGTGTTATTCCAAGGCACTTGCTCAAGTGCAGTCTGCATCCTGCTCGGGAGCCTTTGAAGCTGTGTGCAGCTCCGTGGCTGTAGCTGGGGCTTTGACATGCTGCCAAGTGGGAGTCCCTGGCTGACCAGATGGGTGCCCCTGCTTGCTGGGAGGTGTCACCTGATGCTCACTGCTGGGCTTAGCCTCATCATTCTGCTAATTTCTCTGGCCCCAGTCACAGCTGCTAGCAGAGCTATTCCCTGAGGACTGCGATGGCACCATCTCCCTGCGTAGGTCGAATGGGACCCGACTGACCATCCGTCCCAGCAGGAAGTCCCTGCCAGGCACCAACAAGGAGCACAGGAAGCCCATCTCCATTCAGGTACAGAACAAGGAGCCCCTGAATCTGCTTGTCCTAGAGCCAGGGCAGTCGGCTGCCAAAGCAGCATCAGGCTGGCATCTCTAGCACATGAAGAGGGCCTTAAATGCCTCAGTTCTTCAGTTCCCCCCAGTCCTGCTTGCTTCTAGGAGCTGTCAGTGCCCAGCCCTTTTGGGAATCATCAAAGTGAACTTCTAGTCCAGGTCTCTGGCTGTCTGCACATGGGTCCAGGCCCTTTCCTCTGGCTGTGCTGGAGATGAGACCCATCTCCAAAGCTTTGGCTTGGAGGGTCCTAGTCTTCCACACAGACTGGGTCTGAGCTGCTATGCCTTGCTGCATGGCTGAGGTACTGGTACTTGCCTCCAGTCTGCTTCCAGCCTGGCTGGGTGGCATCAGAAACCTAACAAGATGTCTCCTCAGCATGGAGGGGCAATGGGGTGTCTGGGAGCCCACGCTCTGTCACTTGAACCAGCCTTTGGCCTGGGTCCGGGGGTATCTTCTGGCTTCCATGCTGCCTGCCTGTCTATTCCCTTGCCTTTTGGCTTTGAGTAGAACTGTGGCTCTGCCAGGATCAGTCCTCTGGAGTCAGCGTGGTCCTTGGCAGGGCCCAGAAGCTGCCCCCAACCTGGCTGGCCCCCCTGCAGCAGCATGTGCCTGACCTGTCTTGCTCTGTTCCCATCCTCTGCAGTTCAAGGCTTCACTGCACAAGCTGATGGAGATGCTGGGCTGTACCACGCCGCACTACATCCGCTGCATCAAGCCCAATGACTTCAAGCAACCCTTTGAGTAAGCATGCCAATCACCTGGCATGCTGGGAGTGAGGGGGTGGACACCGCAGGCAGGCCTTTCCCACTGGAGTTGGCTGGGTTTGTTTTAAAACTGGAGGGAACATGCTTGGTCCCCACAGTGGAGCTGATGTGACGGCACACCTGTTGTCCCCTCAGCTGAAGGCAGGGCCCTGACTCTGGCCTGGCAGCGCTCCTACTCCATTCCTGCCCCAAGAGCTAGGTGCCCAGCTCCTTCTCCAGCACCTCCTGCTGCAACGGGACTTGCTAATAAGCTGACCTGAGCTGGGCCTGTGTGTGGCTCGTGCCTGAGCATGTCTGTAACTGGTGGATGGGCAGGGCCAGGGTTTCTGGCAGGGGACCGACTCCAGTCTCTCCTAGGTTTGACTCAAAGCGAGCCATTGAGCAGCTGCGGGCCTGTGGCATCCTGGAAACCATCCAGATCAGTGCCTCAGGGTACCCATCCAGGTATGACTGACCCAGTTCCCTGCTTCACTCCAGGCAGTGCCTCTCTTGCTTGCCAGAACTCTGATCATGGCCATGGCTTTCCTATCTCTGCAGGTGGACATATGAGGACTTCTTCAGCCGGTACAGGGTGCTGATGAGCTGCGTGGAGCTGTCTGGGGACGATGAGAAAAAGATCTGCAGGCTAGTCCTTGAGAGACTGCTCAGAGTAAGCCCTGGGTCTTGGGATGGGAGGGGCAGGGATCTTCTCTGAGCATCGTGGATTTGGGAGCAGCTAACACTTGATTCGGAGTGCTCTCTAGCACAGCCCAGCTCCTTGCCCCATGCTGTGCCAGTGGTGGTACCTTAGTGTGCCCCGTATGGGCATGATGGAGGCAGCAGCTGCCTGTCCAGGAGGCTTGGTTGGAGAAGCTGCCAGCTTTTGTTCCAGCCTGAGTACAGAGTGGGCAGGGGTGGCCTCTAGACCCAGACTTTCTACTGGCAGGGGATGCTGGATCCCCACCTCCCATCTGTCCTGTTGTTCTGATCCCACCAAATGTGCTGAACAGCCTCTGCCGGGCCTCTTCCACCCCCTCCACATAAGCTACACTTCTTGGATCTCAAACTTCAGTTGACTTAAACTCTCTGGGGGTGTTGTTCAAGTGCCTCCTGTTCTTAGCAGGCTGCGGCTCTCTGGCCAGGCCCTGTGTGCCGCAGTTTTCCCCCTCCAAAATAAAGACGGCTCATAATTGGGGCTCCTGTGGTGGTGCCTTGGGAAGGTGCAGTCTGCCTGGGGTTTGAGGCCCCACAGCACTGCTGTACAGAAACTGCCTGCCAGGATCCCGTGCTCCGAGGTACCCTGGGTTGCTGTGAGTTGTGCAAACAAAAAAAATCCATCTACTAATGGGAGGAGCCATTAGCTCCTCATCAGTGGGGGACAGCACTGAGCTTGCCCTCCATCCCTCTGGGTTTACTTGACCTTGCTGTGGGCTGGAGGGGTGGCAGATGAAGACTTTGTGTCTGTGCCTGTGGGGCTGGTGCAGTCTGCACAGTGGGAGAAGGCTCTCCAGGCCTGGCTAGTGCAGAGCTTGTTCAAGGTGTGACCCTGCCTGGGCGAGTCCCAGAGGCTGTGGAGCCCATGTGCATTGTAGTGCAAGTAGGTTGGTCCAGAGGGAGTAATGGATGAGCTGAACCAGGTTGGGTCCAGATCCCCTGGGCCTAGCAGACCTTGCCCTGTCTGTGGAGGCAGCCCTTCTTACCCCTCCGGGGACTCTTGCTTCAGGATCCCAGCAAGTACCAGTGTGGGAGGAGGAAGGTGTTCCTGCGCGCTGGCCAGGTGGCCTTCCTGGAGGAGCTGCGAGCCAAGAAGCTGCGTGCAGCCTGCATCATTCTCCAGAGCAGCCTCCGGGGCTGGCTGGGCAGGAGGCGCTTCCTTCTTGTGCGTGCAGCTGCCGTCTGTATCCAGCGCTTTGCCCGGGGCCTTCTGGCCAGGAGGTGAGGCCTGGCCCTGCCAGCCAGCAGGGAAGTAGGGCCACAGGCTGGACTTGCCAGCAGCTGGTCTCAACAGGGCTCTCCCTGTCCAGCTAGAGCACCAGCTTCAACTGGGAGGGGCCTGGGTGCGGTGGCAGTGGCTGGAACAGTGCTACAGCTGCAAGCTAAGGGAGGAGGGGTGTGTGGCTTGGCCCATGGTCCTGCTTGGCAGCCCTGGGTTCCTGCAGAGGCTCATGCACTGGAGAGAAGCCCTGTCTGGGGGCGGGTGGGGGGAGCAGGCCCTGGCTGCTGTGCCTGGCATGCTGTTCCTTCTGGGCAGGCTGGCTGGGGACCTGCGGAGGGCCAAGGCCGCTGTGATCCTGCAGAAGAACATCAAGATGGCACTAGCCAGGCGGTCTTACCTGCGCATCCATGTGGCTGTCATCACCATCCAGGCCTTCACCCGTGGCATGTTTGCCAGGCACCTGTACAAAGTGGTATGAGTCCAGTCTGGACCTGGGGGGTGGGAAGTGGGACTTGCTCTCTGGGGTAGGGGGTGAAGTCTCTTTTGCTTGGTGCCCAAGGGTGCTGCTCTTGGATCTGGACACCAAGAGGTGACCAGAGCCTAAGGTAGCAGGCAACTGGGTGGGGTGAGGCCTGGGCCTATGGTGTGCTGGGATGCCCCAGGCTCTCTGCTGCTCACTTCTGAGGCTGAGCAGGGAGCCCACTTGGCAACTTCTAGGGGCAGGTACCAATCCTGGGTTGTGGGCACTTGGGGGTGGGGGGGGGTGCACAGCTCCATGCCATGCCTGCAAATCCCTCATGGCTCATCCCTCCCACCCAGATGGTACTGCACCAGAAGGCCATGGTGATCCAGGCAGCTGTGAGGGGCTGGCTGGCTCGCTCCCACTATGCCCGCCTCCGCTGTGCTGCCGTCTACCTGCAGTGCTGTTTCCGGCGTTCTCGGGCGCGCAGGTTGCTGAAGCAGCTCCGCATCGAAGCACGGTCAGTCGAACACTACAAACAGCTCCACAAGGGCATGGAGATCAAAGTGATGCAGCTCCAGTGCAAGCTGGATGAGCAGGTGGGTGCATTGGCATCTTGCTTGGCCCTACCCTTGCTTGGGGATGGTGCTGGAGTTGGGCAGGCTCACCTGGTCCTCTGGCAGGGTAGTGGGTCTTGGAGCAGAGTGCATACTTGCCGGCTTCCTGTGGTGCAGCTCTGGCTACCTGGGACATTTTGTTCTGGCCTCTGTAAATTCCTTCCCTCCCTCACATTAAGGCTTCAGGAGTCTGTCCCTTCTGTCAACACTGCTGCTTGCCCATCAACCAGAACTACTTTGTCACCCCAGAGGGGGCTACATTCCCATCCATTTGGTGAAATCTTCCACCTGCCTCTGCTCTTAGGATATGACCTATTGAATGTACCTGGTGAGGAGGGAGCCTCCTCCCTGCCTCACATCTGCACAGCAGAGCTAAAGAAGCTTGGCTCCTTGTTCCAGCTGTACTGACTGCTGGTTTAGAAGCAGAGACGGAGGCTTGATGTCTTGGCAGAGGTGAAACTTAGTCTAGACCTAGCCATGCAGTGTTTCATCTGCATGAGCTGGTGTTAAGAGTTTGCATCTTCTTGCAGTCAAAGTGGCTGGAAGCTGCTTTCCGTACTTAACTCTGCTTGGGTGGCTAATGAGCCCCAGGACCTAAAAGGGGAATTAGAAGCCTGCAGCCTGGGTAGATGGGACAACCACCCTCCCTCTTCTCCCTGAAATGAGAGGGGGTTGTCTCTCAAGCTGGCCCCAGCAGGCAGCATGCTGCTTCTGGAACTGGCCTGGATCTGCTGGTTCCCAGGGGAGCCACGGGCAGGATGCGTTCCTGGCTTGACTCACTCCTGCGCACCACGTTCAGTCATTTGAGTGTTTCCCGGAGTTGCCATCTGTCAGCACCTGGCTAATGGCTTGTTTGGTCTCAGGGAGGGGAGAGGCTTCTGTTAAAGTTCCCCTAGTTCATTTTATGACCCTTTTCAGAGGCCTTCAGGGGTGCAGAAAGTCAGGATATGGGATGGAGTGGGGTTATGGCCCCCCCTACCATGTGTTATACTAGTGGGGTACCATCTCTATGCCAGGAATGCCACAAACTCATCCTGCCCCCTCTGAGTGGGCTGCACTCAAAGCTGTCTGGGCTGGCACCTGATGCTGTCATGGTGTAGCCATATTCAACAGACGGGTGCCTCCAAGAAGGTCAGGGCAGGCAGGTAGGGCCCTCCAAAAAGCCCTTGGGTTAAGGTTGGTCCATTCCCCTCGAGACCTGGTGTCTAGCAGAGCAACTACGACATGTCTGGGTGAAGACTGGGCTGTGCCAGTCTAGCACATGGGCTCAGCAAGGTCCTGGGGAGCATCCTGACCTTGGTGGCAAACACTGGGTGCAGGGGAGTGCTGAGCCCTGATCTGGGCAGGATGCTCCTCTAGGGGCTCCCAGGGAAGTGTTGCTGTACTGCCCTCACCTGCATGGATGTGATGTGGCCGTGCTGGGCTGCATGGTCCCCACAGGTCTTGTCTGGCAAGTTGGACCTGTAGCCACTGCATACCCCAGTGCTTGCAGCATGGGGACTGGGTGGCTGGGGAGGGAGGGAGTTGGTGACCACTGAGAGAACATGGCCAGCTGCTTGCGAGCTCCCCCATAGCCTGTGCTGTATGAGGGCCTTGTACAGAAACTCGCTCGTGAGGGAACCGTAGATGTATGTTCAGCCTCTATACGTGGGGCACCTGGGACCTGCGGCAGGCTGGGTGCGAAGGGGCCAATGGTTCTGGCCTGGCACCTCAAGCCTGCAGC